TCCTTACCCTCTAATTCCTGAATACGGGCCCCAGCATCCCACCATCAGATTACCAGCTGAGAATTACCTCACCGGGTTGATGGCTAAAACCTTTTCCCACATCTCATAGCCCACTTAGGGACAGGGATCGTGTGGTTTCCATCTCATTTACGATTTCAGTCTCTTCCTCCTGTTCTCATGACTGCTCTGCTGCAGAACAAGCTGCCTCTTCTGGTTCTTTCTCCTGCTCCCTCTCCAGAGCAGGTTTTTCATCCCTCATTAAACAAGCCGACTTCTGCTTCTGTTGTTTCTTTTCAGCTACAGGGGTGACTGGTAGAGTGTCTGTTGGTCCATTTTCCTTCTCTTCTCCCTGAGGGTGCTGCATAACATCGAGCACTGTTTGGTAGATGCTGGCCAGGGCGTAGCACAGTGTGGCAAGCTGTGCCTCTCTGGGATAGCCATGGCTTCCCCCCCCCCAACTTTCTACAACTTCATCAGGATCCTGTAGTTGTTTGGGAGTGAAGTTCCAGACCACAGGAGGTGAGGAGTTGCCTAGATACCTGCCCAGATGCTCCCACATGCCGTGCCACCCATGTCCACACTCTCATGGAGCCTGGGTCATATTCCTAAACTGCTTGTTAACTTTAGACAAAACTGAAGTGATATTCCTAAGAAATACCAGTAGAAGTATTTTAACTACCCAAGGGTGTTCAGGATACTGAGAAGTTACTGTAACGAGGGCGAAAACATCACAGAAGAAGGTAGCAAAGGTGCCATCCTGTATTTCCTCCACAGAAACCCTCTCAGAGGAAGAAGTATAATTGTTAATTGTATCCATGAGATGGTTCCTGAAGTACAATAATGACTTGAGTGCAGAGCCCAAATACCAGATTAAGCTCAAGGTCAGTGCTTTAATAACAAATCTCCCAGGTAAAACGTCCCTGCTCACCACAGAGCACAGCAAACTGCAAAAGCCAACGCCAATCTTCAACATGCACAGCAAAAAAGAGCATGGCACAGACCAGAGAAACTCATATCGAGAACAGATGAATCAATATCGTGACCTGCAGCTGCTAACAGATGTAAATCCCTTCTAATATGCTCTGGTCAATCTGTTATTATCTCAAACCCTTCAGGCCCTACACTGGATGCCAAAAAAAGACTGGTGTGGTTTAACCCTAGTGGCAACACAGCCGCTCCTCCCGCTGCGGGGTGGGGGCAGAACTGGAAGGGTAAAAGTGAGAAAACGGGCTGAGATAAGAACTGTTAAATACTTGAAAGAGCAAAGATGATGATGTAAAGGAAAATGAAAGTAACAGAGAGAGAAATAAAACCCAAGGAAGTCAAGGGATGCAAATGAAAACAATTGCTCAGCGCCGGCCGACCGATGGCCCACCGGTCCCCGAGCAGCGGCTGCCTCTCGGCATCTCCCCCCGTTCCATCGCTGACACGACGTCACGTGGGTGCAACGTCCCCCAGGGTCTGGCCGGGTCCCCTCCCAACCCCCCTGCACCCCCAGCCACCTGCTGGTGGGGTGGGGTGAGGGGCAGGAGAGCCTGGGCTCTGTGTAGGCCCCGCTCAGCTGTGATTAAAACACCCCTGGGTTACTGACACCTTTCCAGCACACACCCAAGCACACAACCCCACAGGGGCTACTGTGAAGAAAATTAACTCTAGCCCCCCAAACCAGCACAACAACCAAGAACTGGGCAAGAGAGACCCATCGCTCTGCACGCAGATGGGAAAACTACAACAGGTCTTGCTGAACTGACATTAAACAGCCTGGTATGAGCAGAAAAGAAAACTTCACTAGGATAATGTTGACCTCCAAAACCAGGGAGTTACGTGTCAGTGAAGACACTTATTAAATGAAATCAAGAGAAACAGCTAAAAGGATAAAGCACGGGTAGGTAACAACAGACTGACCGGGAGCACCGTACCGGAGGTGCAGAGCACCCGTATATCATTCTCCAAGACTTGGGGACAGGGAGGCCAGGGCAAGTAGAAAGGAAACTGGGGAAGGCAAAAACCAAGCGTCATCTTTCAAAAACTGGAAACGTTGTTCACAGGAGGAAAACGTAAAAGAAAAACTGATGATAACACAGTAATAAAAACTTTTCCCTACCCGTCTGCAGAGGGAAGCTTACTGGAGAGTTTAAGGCTGATGGATGAGCAAGGTATAAAAGAAAAGCTAAATTAAATTTTTGCACTGGTAGCTCATAAAGCTTAGAGAGGTTCCCACCCTAAAACCTTTTACACAGGACAGACCTGAGAAGTTGTTTCAAACTAAAGAACCAACACATGGGTAAAATCAGACAAAGTCGGGAAGAAAAGAAGCTGTTCCTCAGGGTCAGGTTCAACTACACCCGTATCCTTCCTGATACGGTTTGTCTAGAAGAGCTGTAGAGATCCGACCACTGGAAATCTAAAATACAAGTTAGAAAACCATGCCAGTGCTTTGACATTGAGTAACGCCTTTCCCTAATGTCTACTGAATCTTTCCTATTGTATTTAAAAAACCCAAACCTCATTACTTCATGTCCCGCACTAATGGGAATGTCATGAGTATCCAAAGTCTTTCTAAAACCCAACACATGAAACAGACCTTCCCGCTAGCTGAGACACTAACACACTGACCTTAAAGAATAGATTGGCTTGATAATATTCATTCTTGACCAGTTTTTGCTAGATGTTACTTATCTTCCTATCTGCTAGATGCTTAAAAACAGTTTCTGAATTTCTGCAAGAAATAACATTGTTGAATCGTTGCTAAATCCCTATATCCTTTTTTTCCTTTGCCCTTCTCTGTCTTTCAGAACCAGCCCATCATCCTGATGTTCTCAAAGATAATCTTCAGGATATCAGCACTTGTTCCACCCGGCTCTCTGCACACTCCAAGATGAAGTGCAGGAGGAAAATAATGCCAAAACAATAAATCTAAATGCTTCAGACTGAGACGACATCTTTTGAAGAGCTACTAGTCAGCTACCTACTCAGGCTGACCTTTTTAATAAGGACTATTGCAAAAAAAGGTCTTAAACTCCTATTTACAATTTGGCAGAAATAGAGAACTCTGTTCTACAGGAAGGAGAGAAATTATGAACCGTGGTACGCAACCTTCCACTTGAATGTGCTCCATTATCAGAGAAGTGAAAGGCATACATATGATACCAAAAAATAAATTAAAAAGCCTCAGAGAGTGGTGGAAACTGGGTTCACAACGCTACAGACCAGCATATCTGGTACGTGAACACAGCAAACAGTAGAAATCAGAACTAGCAGATAGATGGCTACAGAGTAGGACAGGCAGGGGTTAAACATGGCCAATGTATTTCCAGTGAGTCAAGGAGCGGGAGGAAACAGGCAATTTAGTTGATCTACTCCATGCAGATTTTCAAAAAGCTTTCAAATAAATCATCAAATATTTTACATACTAAGCTGCCATGGGAAAAAGTAGTAAGGTTTGAGAGAAGCAGAGTTTTCAAAATGGAGGATGGCCACTGGGAGAGCTCCTCGAAGCCTTACGCTGTTCAACATCTGCATAAACAGGCTAGAAAAGGGGTCGGTAAGAACGGATGGATCATTCAGGGTGATCAAAACTAAAACCATTTGCAAATTTAACAGCGGGATCTCGTGCTTTTACATGATATCGGCGGATGAAATTCCTCACTGACAAAGAACATGAAAGAAAGGAAAGAAAACAAACCTGCGCACGCACATTGGATAGACCCAAAACCATCTATCACCACCTAAGGAAAGATCTGGAAGGAACTGGGGACAGGGTATTGAAAATGTTATCCTACAGTTTACTTGCATCGAAACAGCTAACGGGCTGCTGGGAATTGTTAGGAAAGGAACTGCGCACGAAGCAGAGAACACTCAGGTCACCATACGTTCCCGGTTATCTGTCACTGGAAAGGCACAGGCGTGCTGGTCAGCCTTACTACAGGCGTGTTGCAGAGCTTGACTATGGCCAGAGAAAGGCCAGACACAGCTGTGGTACAACCCCACGATGTCTGGGACCCAGCCTATGTCCAACACCAGTGGCCTAACGAGTTCCACAGCCCCGGCATTTCATCACCACGCTAAAAATCACTACAACGACCCAAGCTGCCATCCTGGCCTAAGGCAGTTAGCACCCCCGTAATTCCTGGGCACAGTTCAGGATCCGGTAGGAACCAGGGACCCGTGTGGATGCAGCCAGACTGCGCTAAGACAGCGCCGGCGTGGCCAGACCACGGGCACTGCTGGTATTTCACAGTGCAGACTCCACTGTGCCTCCAGAGACAAATCCGGGCTCTTCCGACTGGAAGAAAGGACATGGAGTCCCAAATTGTGGAAAAGTGCTAACAGAGTGATTATTCACTAATTTCTCAGAAGTGTTGGGGATATTGCAGTGAAATTACCAGGCGGCAGATTTCGATCAAAGTCTTTTTTCAAATAACAAAACACCCCACGCAAATAATCACCTAACATACAAACCTGGTTTAAAGTGCAATTAGACCAGAATTAGTTCATCAGGAAGACTCGAGCGTGTCCGTGAGATCGAACAGCTGGAACCTGAAGCTCAGGGGGCCCTTACATGGGGAATGGAGCCTGGGAAGGTTTGTCAGGGAAGGGATCTGCCTGTTCTGGTTTTTCTCCCTTCCCCTGGGCAACGGGCACTGGTGGCCACCGGGACGTACTGACTAGAGTCAGACCTCTGGCCCAACCTCATGCAGCTTTTCTTACTGCTGGTCTTCCGTGGCTGTCCTGCCCAGCTCAGCCACCAAGAAAACAGCCATTCTTAAAAGCTCCAGAGGTGGAAAGCAAATTTCATTTGAATTTCATATCAACCCACGACCTCCCTTCTGGAAACCCTAAGAAAGCTCCATAACCTCCGTTGATGACATCTATCACAGGGAATGCTTCCCCAGGAGGAGCAGGACTTCCAGTGACAGAGCGATGCTTGCCCCAGCAGGCACTGAGCAGCCCAGAACCACCCCACGGAGGGACCCTGCAGAGAACACCGCGGGCGTTACCTCCGTGTCCGTCGTAGACCGAGAACATGGCTGTCTCGCTGTCCAGCTCGGGTATGCAGTTGTGTGCGTCCTGAAAGAGAGAGAAAAAGCCTCAATGACATGGATGGCACCAGAGCCCGCAGAGCGTGGGAGGAAGGAGCAGCGAGGCTGTGAGCACTGACACAGGGATTCTTGAAGGCGGAGGGAGAGTGAGAACGGCAAAGCCTCCCCTCGTCTCCTCAGGGCCTGCCCGGTGAGCACTCACCTCCAGAGCGGGGGCACAGATCTTTAATGTTACGGTGCTCCCATGCTAGAGCAGTAATTCAGCCTCGTCAGCTCGTCATTGTGCCAGAAACCCACAGAACCATCCGGGTTGGAAAAGCCCTTGCAGCTCCTCCAGCCCCACCATGACCCTCCCCCTGACCGTTCCCAACTCCCCCAGACCCCTCAGCGCTGGCTCAGCCCGACTCTTCAACCCCTCCAGGGATCCCGGGGACTCCCCCCTGCCCTGGGCAGCCCATTCCAACGCCCAACAGCCCCTTCTGCACAGAAATCCTTCCTAATATCTAGCCTAACCCCTTCCGATCCTCAGTACGACAGCCCTAGACAGGACCACACCGCTCTGCTCACAGCCCTGTACGGCCCGTGCTGCCGTGGCAGGCACAGTCCCTGAAGAGCTCCACTGCCCAAACCAGCACTGAGGCTCAGGGCTGGCTGAGCGCAGCTCCAGTAATACAAGTTATACTGGTACCAGTGCAGCAGCACTTCCCCCCGGACGGCGCAGCTGGCTCAGGGTCACCCGCGCAGCCTGGCCGTCCCCACAGCCGCTCTCTTCCTCAGCATTTGCCCGAGTGCCATGGCAGCCGCCGAGGCCTCCGGTGCATCGCCCGGGGCAGGGGACAGCACGGAGCCGCCTGACCTCGCGCCTCCAACCAGGCGCCGCTTCGCTTCTGGCCAACATGGCCACCAAGGCGGCAGCCATCTGCCCGCACTGCCTGGGGCTGCCCCAGCCCGCCGGGACACAGCACTGGGCTGGAAAACCTTCTCTTGGGACACAGGCTCCGTCCCGTGGCCCTCCCCGGGTGGGAGGCTCCAGGAAGGCACCGCCGGCCCCAGGCACAGCGACCTGACAAGCCGAGACCCTTTCTAGTGTCTTGTAGGCAGCGAGGGAAAGGACGAGCAGGTAACAGGCACCTAATGGAGCAGGAACCGGAGTACAAACCCAGAGACCACCTCCTAGGCAAGGCACACCCCTTGGTCCTGGCAGCTGCCCAGAAACTCTGAGGATCTCTGGGGGCAAACAAGGGGGAAGGTGTGTCCCAGGGGCATTTAAATATCAACCCGCACCCAGCCTTTCCCTGTGCACAAACTACAAAGATCAACAACACACAAGCTATACAAAAGAAATAAGAAATTGTTCCCTGTGAGGGGGGTGAGGCCCTGGCACAGGCTGCCCAGAGAAGCTGTGGCTGCCCCCTCCCTGGAAGGGCTCAAGGCCAGGTTGGACGGGGCTTTGGGCAACCTGGGCTGGTGGAAGGTGGCCCTGCCCGGGGCAGGGGGGGGCACTGGAGGGGCTTTGCAGCCCAAACCATGTTACTTTTCTATAGACCAAGCAACCTCTCTCCACGGGGTCCCTCAAGAGCAGCAGCCTCTGACGAAGGGATCACCCACATTTCACGGGCAGGTGCCTGACCTCTTCCACCCTACGGGTAAGCAAACTGAACTCGGTTACTCTGACACAAAGCCTAGAACTGATGGATGGGCTGAATCTTTCTCTTAATCCTCCCCCCAACTAATCTAACATTTCTTAAAATTCAAGCCCTAACCTCCCCATTTACAGCCTGACCACAGCCGCACGCTTTTGTTCAGGAGCAATCACGTGATACCTGGTCTGGTCTCTGCTGCGGTTCAAGTTCATCACCTTAGAAATTAAATGTGTGACCGTTGCCCCAAAACACTGTGTTCACGCTGGGATGGCTGTGCCGTGTCACCAGCCATAACCCAGGATTTCTGTACACACACAGAGCCACGCTGGCTGCACAGACAAGCAACTGTTGAGCTCTTCTACTTTTTTATTGTAGGACTCCTTGTATAAGAGCTCTTTACCCTCCAGAGTCCCACAGTCTTAGAAGAGAACTTAATTCCTCTGCAATTTCTATCAAGCACTGAGGAAAACAGAAAAAGGGAGGTTCTGGATTTATGCAACACTTAGTGCAGTGAAACTTCTGACACTGATGAAAACAGTGTCTGAACAGGCAAATTACACTCTCAGTTCAAAATGAAAAAAATGTCTCTGAATTATAATGTGAAATTTAACCAGAGTGTTCACTGGAGATAGTACACGAAAATAAGAATAAACAAAGAACCAGCACTTTGACACTCACTTTTCAGAGCATTCGCAGAAGCTAGTGAGACAGCAAAACCACAACAAAGTACCCGGGATAAGTCCCAGGTGACTAAACGGCAGTTTAATTAGAGCAAGTAGTGCCTCTCTACCCCGTTTGCAGAGTGTCACCACAACTCACCCTGAGCCTGCGCAGGGCACCACGGCCCGGAGGGCAGCCTGGGCCCACGGGTGCTGGCACGGGCCGGGTCAGTCCCACACCCGCAGGGACCCCTCTGCCCCGCTCGGAGCAGGACGCCAGCGGCTCCGCAGCCAGGCCCGGGCGCTTTGGGTGCTCCGAGCGGGTCAGGGGGCACTGCCTGAGCACCGCCACCACCCCGTGCCCCAGGGTGAGCTCGCTGAGCCGCTCTCCTCCGGTGGTCTCGTGCCCCTCGGCGCAAGCTCGCCCAGCCCGACGGCAGCTTTCTGCCCTCCCCGCAAGGCTGCGATGCTGGGTCTCGCCCAGCGGCCCCGGTGGTTACCACAGCAGCACTGAAAAACACCACATTTGAACACCAAGTTCAGTTAAAATTAGCAAACAACTTAGAGAGTTAATTTGACAAATCTCCATGTTTTGAACCAAATTCTTGTGCTGTTTGAAGCAAGGGCGTCTGTCCTGAGCCCAGGAGTGAAATGAAGCTGCACACGGGGCTTGCTGGTGTCTGGTTTGAGGATGGGGTCAGAACAGTCCCGTCCAACCAAAGTGCCTCTTTCACTGTATCACACAGGACTCCTCTCCACCCTGAAGCCATCTTCAGCTTTTTCCCTTTTTTTTAATTGCTCACACTAACCTAACACTAACCTTTCTGGTATCCTTACCCTTTAGGTCCTTCCCCCGCCCAAAATATTTCCTTACAAAGCAGCGTCTCCAGACCAAGAATGGATTTTTATTGTAGTAGTTCTCCAGAGCCCCGTATACCCACCTCACTTGGAGGCTCCTAAAATGGAACTTAAAGGCAATAGAAAACTCCTTTACACAAATTTCTGCTCCCCAAAAATGCCAGTGCCCTACCACTTGTACACAGTCTGGCTTAACTAACACAACATGTAACTAAAGCCTTCAGTGTAAACATTTACTCAGAACTTTCTCTGAGCCTTACAGAAAAGTACAATTAAATGCGAGGAAAATGGAAAAACACAAACCAAGACAAGACACAGGGAAGAACACGTAGCACTGGAATGTGAGAAAATGCAACAGAACTAGTGCTCAGCTGTAGGTGAACCAACACGTGTTCCTCTCCCATCCCAGACTCCGGAGCGATTTGCAGCAGGTTCAACTTGTAACACAAGTGTTCCTGCCATTGTCTCGATTCTTGTGATAACAGCAGCTAAACCACGTCCACACCAAGGGCCTCAGAACTGCTTCTGTCAAGAGGGAGATAAGCCGAAGATGTTGGCGAGTGCAGAAAACACAGCTGCAAGCTCTGGGCCACATCCAACTCCCGTAAAGGTCAATGGCAGCAAGAACAGACCTCGAATAAGTGAAATTATGAGCCAATGCCCCACCTGCGGGAGGGCGACTTCGGCCCACCGGCCGCATTATAAATAGAGGTAACTCTGCTCTCCCTCGCCCAAGCCTGTCTTGCGCTTCCAGCCGCTGTGTGCCGGGGCTGCCAGAGCGCTGCCTGCCTCCCGCCTCTTACCCCCGCTAATCGCCTTGCAGAGATTACACCAGCTCAGCGCTCCAGCAACGCCTCCGTGCCACCATTTCACCCCTCCGGAGGTCACAGGGACAGGCCAGCTGAGCCCCGGCCGCGCCCAGGCAGGCAGGCACACGCACGCTGCCAGCTCCCGCCTCGTCTGCCCGAGACCCAGAGCCCACGGTCCAACGGGGCTCAGCCCCACGCAGGCAGGAGGAGACACCTGGTCACTGTTCTGCCACCAGCGAGGCTGCCGCAGCGTTTCAGCCACAGTGGAGTATCTGATAGTGCGGCTCCTGGAACCCTATTTGCAAAAAAATCCATCCCCAAGGGTCTGAACAGGACGTGCCCTCCAAACTGGCTGAAGGGCTACAAGCGGGAAGGATGTTTCACTGTGTTTGGGGAAGATGTACCCTGGGGGGGCTGGAGGGACCAGCATTAATCCTTATCTAAGTTAGCCTGTTTGCTGGCTGCCTGGAAGGGAGAATGAACCAGCACATTAACGGTACTCACAGAGGGTGTTAAACTCCAAGAGCAGGTAACTGCTGGCAAGGCGGAGGAGCCCCAGCAGCCCGACCTTGCCCCGACAGCAGCAGCTTTCCAGGGCAGCTCCGGGGGGGGAGCGCGGGCAAACACCCGGCTCACGGTGATAATTCGTCTGCCCCATAACCAGCCTGGCTGGTCGGATGGGAAAGCCAGGGCTGGCTGAGGGCAGCCATAAGAATTCCTGCAATAAATTTGTCTGGAAAAAGAATAAAACCAGGGAGAGAACAGAGGGAGGCGGGCGCTTTGCTTCTGCCTGGAACGGGAAGCAGGGATTTCGCCCGAGGGTTTCTCCACGTGCTTTCATTCAGTGCTTCAGCCCAAGCGCTAAACCGCCCTTTCCTCCGCTTTTTAACCCAAACCTCTTGTTCCCCGCGGGGATCCTCTGGGCTGTGCGTGCCCCCCCCCGACACGCGGTGACACCCCAGCAGGTCACCGTGGGGGCCGGGGACAAGCGACGGCCCACGGGGATCCCCCAGCAGGGC